CAGTTCAGTGAAATATCATAGAAATACCACATATACATTCATCAAGAGATTGTATCTCTTGACCTATGCCCCAAAAGACCCTGTATTCCCTTTTCTAATCAGTACCTTGTTCTCTTTTATTGAAAGGGACCAATTTTCTGATTGCTAACATTGTATTTTAATTTTTCTAATTTTGAAATTTATGTACCTAAACTATGCAATATATTCTGTTGTATTTAATTTCTTTTGCTGAATATTTTGTAAGATTCATCTCTGTCATTGCAGTTATATATCTTTTACTCACTCTCATTTTTATATAGTGTTCCATTTCATAAAATGAATTTTTAGGAAAACACTATAGTTTATGTAGATATTCTAGTTTTCATGGATTTGGAAACTTTTCAAGTTTTAGAGACATTATGTACAATGCTGTGATGGCAAAATATGAAAATTTTTCATTGAAATAAAAAACACATTAGATATGCTAATAAAAAACAAATCAGATACTCACTCTTACTGCTTCATTTCAACATTGTCATGTGGTACTAGACAGTATAACAGGGTAAGAAAATGAAGAAAAAAATATAAAAATGATATGTATGTGTAGAAAATCTATAAAATTATTTTCCTTTAAATTCTGAATTAATATGTAAGCTTATCAAAATTGGTGGTCAGTTAAGATTCAATTAAAATCAATGAAAAATTAAAAATTATCTGAAAGGTCAAGTAAAAAACTTATAGGAAATAAAATTTAATAACTAGATGACAGTGGGGGAAACTGCATGAAGTTTTCTAATATGGAAATTCTACACAATCTTTTCAAGTCTCTGTAAAACTAAAATTATCTACAAAAGTTTTTAAATCAAATTATATATACACACATAGATGCAATTTATATACACATATGTAATTTATAAAAGCATCATCAAACATACCAAATAGTAAAATAAAAATATTTAAAATATTATCTTATGAGTAAGACTGAAAAATACTTGTAGAGAAGTTAACAAACATCCAACTAAATTGAGAAATATACCATATATGTGAATTAGAAGTTTAGATACTATGAAGATCTCAATTCTCTGCAAATGGACTAAAGATTAATTTTGATGCTTTAAAAAAATCTCATTCTATTTTGTCTTCATGCTCTTGCTTTTTACTACTGCTCAGTTGTGGTTTGTTTTTTCTCTTTTAATCCTTGGCACTGCCATTCTGCCTCTGCTCTCTGTAAGTCTTCTTTTCTCTTCCCTTTGCCTGGATCTCTGAGTGGGGGAAATATCTAACTTCTTATCAGACAACTATTGCTAACGCACAGGGATGAATGACTGTCTGAAAGTTATGCAGGTTTACCTTAGAAAACAAAATGAATTATCTCTATTGCTTTTCTGGTTTGTCACGTTAAAACTATTCCTTCATTACAGCAAAGCAACCAAGAGAAAAAACCAATTCCACTTAGGTTTGTTAGCTGTGATGAGCAAATAAAGATCACCTCTTCATGTTTCCTGTCCAGGAGTCCTTTCTCCATTCCTTCCGCAATTTTTTTTAGTGCCTGTCATAGTCTAGGTCCTATCATGGTTTAAAATTGCTCTCAGCAAAGTAGAGAATGGTAGACTTGGCTAACTATAATATATGTTTAATAAACAAGAGAATTGGTTAAGATAGATGCCACAGAGGTAGAAATGATTTTCTTTATCAGAAAATTTGAGGACCAGACAATAGTGACATTCAAAAAAGGATGGAGAAAACAGAAGTCAGTAGGAACAACACAGATAAAAGTATGTATTGTAAAAATACTGGCATATTAGGGAAACATCAAAATATTAGCATAAAAGATAAAAATATTTAGTAAATCCTTTGCTTGTTTGATGTATATACACATATCCTCATATACCTGTTATATTTGCAAGGGCTCTGTTTAGCTTTTTTTTGTTCTGTTTTGAATCATGAAAATAACAGGGACTGATTTTCATGTCTCATGAGCAGTTCTGAGTAAAATACTTGTTTTAAAACTCTTAATCAAGAGCTTCTCCAAGGACGTCCCTTGACTATTCCATAGATGGATCCTAGCCAACTAAAATGATTTTTCATGATTTAAAAGACCTGATTCTAAGAACCTGAAAATTACTTATTCACAAGATGATAATGGCTACAATTTTTATGGTGTTTAAAAATAGCTATAGTACTTAGAAATCATATGGTATGTGCAACTGAACAAACATCTGAATCGTGTCATTACAATAACCCAACTTTCTCCAAAAGATTTAAAAAAAAATGAGTTTCCCTGTCACTGAGCCTAAAATTTTATACATAGAATTGCTGTAAGCAATGGTTGTGATTAAGCTTTACATATAACAAAGCTGTGTCAAAAAGTTTGCAATAATTTATCTAATGCATCTTAATAATTCCATGATAACTACCATTACTTAGCAGAATTGCTCAACAGAGATGGAATGATGGGTGCATCTGTTTATCTTTCTGTAACTTTTTGCCTACAGAAGCTCTCTGGTTTGCATAAATTTCCTTATTTATTTTTAATAATTCTGATTAGACTCACCAGTCAATGTTTTTGCTGCATCTTACTGGCCAAACTAAATACCTAACCTATCTCCCCTGCATGTTCATATATTTTACTACAAATTCATAGAAAAATGACTATTTATTTAGCATTATTTCATTACTTAGTTATTAGATTACTAATAATAACCAATACTCATAAATATTTATCAAATGGAGGCTTCAATCAAGATGGTTTTAGTGCTTCTAATGCTGAGTGATTAAATCAACAAGCTCTCTAAAAAACACAACTCAATTCTGTGGTCCCTCCATACAAACTTTTAATTTTATGAAAACAGACTCTAAGTGCTGCTTGCCTTCTTGCCAACTGAGAGAGCTTTACCCATTGCTTTCTCTGCAGAGCTACCAGAGGGAAAATACAGAACCTACACTGAGAACTTTCTGAATTCAGTTCTGTGTATATACACTCAAATGAATCAAATTGGGGTAATTTAGTGAAAGTCAAATCCTCTAAATGATATTCACCTAAAACACACAGGGAAATGGTTTGGGAGGCTTAAATGATCAATTTAATTGCCTTAATTTTCTGGGTTGCTATTTATAAATAGGCACACTTTTATCATATCTAACTGAGGATTCCAAATTGTGAGTTTGGGTATGTTGTATTTTTATTCTCAATGCCCTGAATCATGTATGCTTTGTACACAACCCACGTATTAAAGGTAGCCCACAGACCTCAGTTGCAGCACAAGTTAGGTTTCAGCATTCATGGTGATCTGCCCGTAGCTTTCTTCCTGATAACCAGAGCCTCTAACTTTGTCAATGTTTTTACTCTGAAGTCCCGGGCAATGTTTTTAAGACTAAATAGAGTGGCATCACCTTGTGGCTGTGTTCTTACAATTTGAACGTGGAGTGTTGTTTCAAGACATTTTATTGGTGAAACCTACCCAGTGGATATTAAAACTTTTTCTCTCTAAGCTCTGAGAAAGAAGTGAGAGAAAAGCTTACTTATGAGTAAGGTGGTTCACTTAACCCTGTCTAATTCTTCAGTAGAAGTTTTCCCAGTGACTTTCAGTTTATGATTCAGTAGTTCCTCTGAATTAGAGGGTATTGCAAGGAGAACATATTCTTGAAGATATGGTCTGAAATTCCAGATTTTGAACAAATTATTTTAACAAATTTTAAGAGTTTAGGATTTCAGAACCTTTCACTGACAGAGTGGTGGTGGGTTTTTTTTTCCCCTCCTCTCATCAAACTGTGGTGCACACAAACCTTTTGATGTTTTAAAGGTTTTTCTTTGGCAGCTAAGAAAAACACTCTGGAAAGTTATATTTAGTGAATTTATCCATGTATAAATATCCCTCAGCAACTCTGCTATCCTGTGGCATCTGGAAGAAAGGTGCTATTGTTTTAGATTCTATGATGGAAGTATAGAATTATCCATTCAGAGGGACCCTTGGGGAAGATTCACTCACATGTGCTGTGGAGATTTGTAATCCCCAGCTTCTTTAGTTTTTCCTACAGATGAAGAGACACTGATGAGTTCATGCTTTGGTACATCTTGTGACAGCAATTCCAATTCATGCCACTGTTTAACCACCAGTTTTTATTCAAGACTATTTAACTTTTCTAGAAAAACTATTTTGGGGGGTTAATCTTTTTGTTACTATTATTTTTCTTGCTTTTTGGGCCACAACAACTGTATGACTATTTTGTTTGCAAGTGTTCTGCAACATACCAAGTTCATCACCGAGGCATACCAGAGATGTATCATCAGACTTGGGTCTGACAAATACACTCCATTAATTATTTAAAACTCCTCTTCATTTCTTGCAAAGCAATGTTTACTGAGCTCCTCCATGAAAAATCAGTGTAATTCCAGAAGATCATGACAGATTTGCAGAGAGGAACTTGTCCTGTGCTCACAGGTAGACATCAATATAGTTATGAATAAAGTAGAAATTAACTGGAGCTGCACAGCTCCAGTTTGGCTTTATTTGAACATTTTCTCTGCTACTTTACTCAGTAGATAAGAGCAACTGTCTCTTGGCTTTCCACCATAAAGTGTGCAATTGTGTAAGGTAGTGAGGAGAAAAAACACTGCAAAAGTGTGCATAATAGACTGCCCATTCTGTCAACTGCAACTTCCCTGAGATTTTGTGTTCAGGGCCCAGCTGTGTATACAGACATGATGGAATTTGGTTTGTGAAGCACCTACAAAACTACACAAATAATTCTCTTTTAAAAGACTAATATGCAGATATGCACCTGCTTCAGGGACTTCATAGATTAATCTTGTGACCAATAGAAAAGCCCCTTGGAATTTAATTACATGGATGCAAAACAGAAAATAAAACTGGCTACACTTTTAGAACTGATATCAGCAACATGCTGACCAGTTCTTGGAGCAAGCTTTTCCTGAGGATTAGATTTTTCAATTTGCTTTTCTTCTGTGATACCATAAAGTTGTAATAGTCTATTCATACTCTTATCTGCTCTTCTTGCAGCTGGAGCCACTTCCTAAAGACATTCTCCACCAAACCCCGAACATGAATGCTGTTACTTCTTTACAGAAGATCATTGAATTTCAAAGTATGTCTTTAATATTTTATTTTTTTAAAAAAACTTGAAATTATATTGGCGAATTACAGCACAAAGAGACATATTAGCTATTTTAACTTTCACATATGTTCTTACCTAAATGATTTATTGCATTACTTTTAATATAGCAAGCTTAGGTGATATTGATGTCATAACCCAGAGACTCCATTAGAATCTTGTTTTTCTTATATTCTCCACACACTTATATTTTCCCTATTTCTACCACTAATCATTTACCTAAAACAATGAAATACAGTAAAAAATTGTGATTGTGTAATCCAATCATAAATGAGCATAAATTATCTCTTAATGATGTCATAATTTAGAATAGAATTATTGTGTGGTTTTAAGTTTAGCAGGAGAGGGAAAATTTAATGAGAAAGTCTCGATAGGAGAAAATTCAGCTTAGCAAAGCAGGGTAAATAGAGACATTTTATTATCCAACTCCATTCCCAGACACCCATACACCCAGCTACAACTTAACTTTAAGGTTAACATGACTAGAAAAATCACATGATAAAACTAGGTGTTAAGGAGGATCGACAAAACTCTCAGCTTTGCTAGTTTCCCGTAGAAGCCTCTTTTAAACCACACTGAAGAAGCCATATTCCAGGCATAACTTGAAGTCATTGTCTTTGCCCATTCCGCAGAAATTTAGAGATACGAGTGTGATTAGAATTTTATTATCATTCCTCTGATACTTAGAATATTTACAAGTTATGCTATACATAAACTCAAAATAGTCCTCCACTTTACTTAATCTCATTCATGCCTGGATTTTGGATGATCTTTACCTGTTAATCATTTAAAAGTGATATCATTATGGAATAACTATGAATTTCAAAGATTTTCAGAGAACAGAAATATAAACATTCAGATGCTGGAAGGCAACTCTGGGATAAGGCTAAGGGAAAGTAACTGACAGAGACTCAGAAGGGAAGGTTGGAAGTGATGATTCATATGTTTAAGTAGAAAACTATGTCACTGTCCTGTCTTGTTTTTACTGAGGGCCCATTAATTGTCATTCCAGATCTTAAGGAATGAATCCTCAAGTGATCTCTGACGGCATTCTCCTCCAGTTCATCCTCATCCAATCCAGCATTCTCCTTTAGGTCACTAACAATAAAACAAAATCTCAGTCTCTCTCTCTCTCTCTCATCTATATATATGTATATATGTATATATACATATGTACACATAGATTTATGATTCTTTATATATATGATTCTCTCTCTCTCTCTATATATATATGTATATATTATTCTTTTTTCCATTTTGCACACAGACTATTAACAGGCATTATTCCTGTGTAGCTTCTGAGAATATCACTTTAATAAGAATTTCTGACTTATTATATGTTGATTAGTCATCAAGGCACAGAGATCATGAAGAAGGCAGAATTTTTGACAAAAAGGAGTTTACAGTTCAGTGAGTGACAGAAAGAAAGAACAAAGTCAATAAGTTAGTCAGACTTTCTTGTTGCTGTGACCAAATACCTGAGAACAACTTAAAATGGAGCAGTGGGCCACCCTGGACTATGGCCACATTGGCTCTGAGTGCCTAGGCCAATATGTACAGTTCAGTGAATCAATTCCTGGGGAAACAACTTCATTGTGGCTCCCTGTGAGCAGGTTACCTTGTATGGATTCTTTTCTCAAAGCGAAATCATTCAAATAAATTAAAACTTTTACACCTTTGATCCAGATGAGTGGGCTCGGGCTGAGGTGCCCTTCAGACATCTTTCTTGCTGTTCAAAGGATTTGATTTTGTTTTAATGGCACTAATCTCTACGACAACAATGCCCTCCTTCTCTACAATGTAAAACACACTGCTTTTGTGGGCAAACTACATGTTTTCCAAATCTTTCTACTCTGCTTTTTGTTCTTGGGTCTCACAATAAGCCTGGATAAAAGCAGGCAAAAATAACCATGTCACAACCTGAATGCTATGGTGTCTTGAAATTACTCCACCAAATTAATTAGGCCATTACTTGTAAATTCAGCCTCACCAAAGTTATGAGCAAAGGATGTGAACAAAATGTAGACAAATTGTTTGCCAGAATGTAACAATGGTCTGTAGCCAGTTCCTAATAAAATTCTCATTTCCACCTGAAATCTATGCACACAGTCTTTCTGTCTGCTTTTCTACCAGAGTTCTGAACTTCTCCATCATGCTCTGCTTATATCATCATAGGCTTTCTGTAGCTCACTTCTCTAAACTTTTCCAAATTTATTCCATAAGTGAGTTCCAAAGATTTAAGAACTATGTGGTCAGCAATGACCCCCTCCTCGTACCAATTTTCTATTAGTCAGAATTTCTTAATGCTGAGGCCAAATAACTGAGAGAAACAAACAAGGGGAAAAGATCTATTTGGGCTTGTTGTTTAAAAGGGCTCAGTCTGTGGTTGTTTGACCCCATGTACATGACAGTAGAATCTTTTTGTGGAGGAGGTTCTACATCTCATGGTAGACAGGAAGAAGAGAGAGAGGAAGGGACTGAGGACCAAGTGTACCTTCAAAGTCATGCCCCAAGTCACTGAATTACGCCCATAGACCCTACTATTTTGGTAAGTTTCTACAGCTTACCAAAATAGTACCATCAGCTGGGGACCAAGCATTCAACGCATAAGTACTTTGGAAATGTTTTATATTCAAATCACAATAGTCTGTAATTCCAATTCAGTGTTAAGAGGTACACTGAGATCATGGAGAAGGGTCAATCTCTCTGCTTCAGATGAGGGGTGTTACAGAGTGAGGAAGGTTCAAGGAAAGCATCTTTGCAGTGATAGAGTTTAAGTTTGGTCTTAAGGGGTAAACAGGACATAGTCTAGTTGCGGAAAGAATGAAAATGCTTTGAAAGGAATAGCAAAAACAAAGGATTATCTTTCCACACAGATGTGAAAAGTCATAGTTTGTGTACATCTTCAGAAGCTCTACCATTACCTTTTGTATTATCTAATTTCCTAATAATAACTTTTTGCTGCATAGGTTTTATTATCCCCAACATCCACTGATATTTGGTTAAAAGTAAGAATACAATTTTATATTTTGTAAAGAAACCAAGCATTGTATGCTGAGCCATAATTTTCACTTCCCAAATTATTTTAAAGTTTGAGATTCTGAAATACTCACTCCACTTTATTGATCCTTGGATATTATATATCCTTTTTCCTATTCTGTTAGTATGGAAGAGGGACCCCAAAACATACACACTTAAAGCCACACAAAAATATTCCGTGGTGTCAAAACCATAGTGCTGAACCACTTTGTCTGTACTGGTTTTCACCCCATGACCCAAGTTGTGGGAGATAACTCCTATCTTGTGTTTCTTTTCCTTTACAACCTCAATCCATCATTCAGCTTCCTCTCAACCACAATTTGAATTCTCCTTATGATGATCCTTCTCTCATTCATTCTTGGCAAATAATTTTTTAGCATCATCAGCACTTTGATTTTCATTAGGACTGGCTACATAATTTACAAAATGAAAATGTGAGCCTCTTGTTCAAAACTTACTCAGAGTTTTAAGGCAAGAACAGCAAGAACATTAAGCCAAGCACTGAGCCCTTCCAAATATCAGATTCATATGACTGCGTAGATTGAAGGGCCCTAAAAAATGTCCTGATTCTCATTGACCAGAATTGGGAAATGTACCCATTCCCTAACCAATCACTGCTAAGTAGGTTGACAAACTCAGTCTTAGACTAAGAAGAGCTCTCTTGGAGCTGGGGAAAGATTCAGCTTTCCCGAGTTTGTATATTATTTGGTGGAAGGATTCATGAGTAAAACCAGACTCCATGGGTATAGATATGAGAAGTACTGGGTTCTAGGTACTCCAGTGACAGTGCCAGCCACATCACATATCCTTGACCCAGAAAGTGAAACTCTTCATCATAAGCTTCCCTTGATGCAAACATTAGACAGCCATGGATAAAAATAGATTATTTCTGTACTTCTGCTGACTGTCATAAGAAATCAGGGCTAACAGACACTGAAATATACAAGCAGTTGACAAAAAAAAAAATGAAACTAAAAAGTACCACTGACCAAAACCCGTAATCAGTGCTGAGAGGTTATAGGATTATTAAACTAACAAATTGGGTGGGATACTGAGTAAGAGTTCAGAAGAAAATGGATTTTGAAATGGGAGAAGTAATCAATGTTGGGTACTGTGAACTGCAGTTTGGAGCAGAAGATAGGGATTCATAAGCCACAGTGACAAGATTTTCATATACTTTGACTGTGCAAGTCACTTGAAAATATCAGTGGATGTTGGGGATAATAAAACCTATGCAGCAAAAAGTTATTATTAGGAAATTAGATAATACAAAAGGTAATGGTAGAGCTTCTGAAGATGTACACAAACTATGACTTTTCACATCTGTGTGGAAAGATAATCCTTTGTTTTTGCTATTCCTTTCAAAGCATTTTCATTCTTTCCGCAACTAGACTATGTCCTGTTTACCCCTTAAGACCAAACTTAAACTCTATCACTGCAAAGATGCTTTCCTTGAACCTTCCTCACTCTGTAACACCCCTCATCTGAAGCAGAGAGATTGACCCTTCTCCATGATCTCAGTGTACCTCTTAACACTGAATTGGAATTACAGACTATTGTGATTTGAATATAAAACATTTCCAAAGTACTTATGTGTTGAATGCTTGGTCCCCAGCTGATGGTACTATTTTGGTAAGCTGTAGAAACTTACCAAAATAGTAGGGTCTATGGGCGTAATTCAGTGACTTGGGGCATGACTTTGAAGGTACACTTGGTCCTCAGTCCCTTCCTCTCTCTCTTCTTCCTGTCTACCATGAGATGTAGAACCTCCTCCACAAAAAGATTCTACTGTCATGTACACGGGGTCAAACAACCACAGACTGAGCCCTTTTAAACAACAAGCCCAAATAGATCTTTTCCCCTTGTTTGTTTCTCTCAGTTATTTGGCCTCAGCGTTAAGAAATTCTGACTAATAGAAAATTAAACTAAAAATA